CGAGCGCGGTAAGTGGTTCCTTCTGCCGTTGCGATACGGCGGATGGTCGGAAGATCGGTCTTCTGGCGGCTCGGCAGCCGCTGCACTGTCTCGGAAACTGCGGCACGGGTCGCAGGAGCGAGTCCCCGCACGAAGTAGTGCGCGAGGGACTGTTCGGAGAACACTGCCGTGCACCGGAACGCGGCCGTTTCGAGCCGGTCCGCGAACGTGCTCTCCGTTTCATGAGATTGCTGTCGCGCCGTCGCGACAGCGTCGTACGCTTCACCTAACACGTCGTCGGTTAGGTAGCGTTTCAGGAACTGGTTCACGAGCCCCGGCCAACTCACGTCGTCGTGTAGTTGGCCGGCGCGGAGGCCACGCATCGTATAACTCGTATACAGGCGCTCCGCGTCGCGCTCTAAGAAGTGCGCGAGGACTCTCACGGCAACACCTTCGGTCAAAGGTTGCGAGTTGAAGGTTATCCGAATATCCTTCAAGAACGGTAGGAGCTGGATCGGGTCCGTACCGTCAAAGCTCCTCATCGTGGGACGGATCCCACGGCAGCGTTGGACGTACTTCGCGATCCGTCCCGCGTCACCCGAGGTGACGAGCCTCGAGGTGTTATCCAAGCGGTACATACGATAGTCAGCGACGGCGCTGAACTCTTGGATCATCGTATGCACCGGCTCGAGCCCGGGTTCGGCGGGACCTAGCGTGCCGAAGGAGGTAACCGGTAGCGTACGGACGTCTACCGGACCTGGATGCTCGGCATAACTCGCCGGCGGGTAGCCGCCCCAGCGGGGATCGACGGGGAACATCGGTTCTCCGGATCCGCGGGCGGCTCCTCCACGGTCCTGTTCGTCCGCGTACGATACGCGGTCCATCTGCCGCCTACTTACGGGGATAGGCGGCAATGCTTGGGTCTCGGACGCGAGATTCGCGCCCATCGGGGGACGGTTTCCTTCCGCAGTCCGACTGGCGTCGGCGCCAGTCGGACGCCAACCTTCCGGAGCGACGGCGCTAGGAGGTACGGCACCACCGGGCCCTCTCGTGGGGGCACCGGGCAGCCTTGCGGCCATGGTCCGTTCCATGTCACGAGCACGCCGTCGCGTAGCGTTGAGCTCGGCGGAGAGGTGCGCGAACGCACCCAACTGCTCTGCTGACGGGGACGGTCGATCGTCGGGACGTCTCGTCGAGGTCGGCCTCGTGGGGCGACCTTGCCCGTGCAGTACGGGCTGTGCGAGGCGTGAGTCTTCGACGAGCACCAGTCGCGAGTGTAACTCGTCGACTAGTGCTCGGAGATTCTCCAAGGACTGGCTGACTCGATCGAACCTCCCTTCACGTAGGGAGCGAAGCTCGTCCATACATCGCGAGTAGACGGCGTCCGTCACGTCTATACGGAGTGAAGTACGGACTTCCTCGATGTAGTCAGCGATGCGATCGAACATCGCAGCCGCTTGTCCTTCGGGGGACTCGGGCGACGGTTCGCGGTCTCGGAGACCAGCGTCGCCGTCGCCGAACGGCGGTGATGGTGCGTGCATAGCGGCCGCCCTCGGATCCGCCGGTTCGGACCGGATCGAGGTGGCGTATTCTTGACTCATCTCAACGCGTACGGACGCGGAGGAAAAAGAAAGTCTTCTCGGAAAGATCTCGGGGTCTTCTAGGTCGGGAGACCACTGTAGCATAAACACCCCCAGACGACTGGAGGTGTATGCGCAGTTCGACCTGTAGACCCCGGATCGGAGAAGGGGTGAAGCGGGCCAACCAGCTACGGAACCGGGCTCGGGCCCGGGTAGCGGTGGTAGAGCGGGAGCGAGCAGGGACGCGTGCACGCACGAGCGGATCGACGCCTCGACGCCCCGGAGCAGCACTGGGTGACGTACCAGTGCTGACGGGCGGAGGCGGTTCCGTGCTCGCTCGCGTGCTGCGCGTCCACTCCGGCTCGGCTCCGACTAAACGCGCGCGGAGAGCGAAGGCGACGTTTAGAATAAGCTGGGTGCACTGACCTTGGCGGTCGGTTGAGGACAAGCCCGTGCTTGTCCCCTTCCGCCGCCGTCGGTCCGCTCCATATTTAATATACAAAACACTCTATCATAACACTACAGTACCGTGGTACTGTAGTGGGCTACTGTAGTGCAGGTCGGCCTGCACTGTAATACTGTCAGCTATGTCAAGGCTGACAGTACACGTATCACTCGTGGTGCGTGCGCGCTTCGTTCGCGCGCTGTACACGTGTGCACGTGTATGCGCATGTCCCTTGTCCCCGTGGTGTACACGTGGACACGCGCGGTGGTACTGTAGAGCTCGACGCTCTACAGTAGCTGATCTAGTTCTTGATCTAATCTAATTTAAACCCCCAGGGGGGGGTTATACTACAACGGGTTCGCCGGTACGGAGGTTGAGGCGGACGGGAGTGCCAACCGTAGCGACCAGGGTAACGGCCTGGGCAAGGGTGGCGAGCAGGACTGAGGCGAGTGTGGCGAGAGCAGCGCGACCTGCAGCCAGAGTGAGCACGGAGGGGCGGTACGCGTGGCAGGACGAGGGGGAAAGGGGCGACGAAGACCGGAGAGAGGACGAGAGCAGTAGCGAAGAGGACGGGGGAGCAGCGGGGCGGGGAACGCCGGCAACGATGGTGGACCAGAGACGAAGGGACGGCGGAGCGGGAGGTGCGGGGCGAGGAGCGGAGAAAGAAGGGATTTGGCTCGGCGCGCAAAGCGCGCACGGAGCCCACTTGTCAGCCCCTAAATGTTAATGCCTATCCTAATGCCAATAGGACGTTGCTGGGAAATTTGGATGCAGAAGGTTGGTTTCCGAAAGGGGGAGTAGTGGTCTGCACTGCCAAGGGGTCCATGGATATGACGGTCCTTCCACTACTTATCAAACACCTTAATAACTACGTGCGAATGTTTGTGCCATCTGATATTCACTACTTGCTTAAGCTGGATGGGCACGGCTCCCGGAAAGGTATGGAATGGGTGGAGGCGTGTGTGGAAAATAGATGTGAAGTCGTCGTTGCACCAGCTAACACCTCCCACTTCTTACAGCCCTGCGACCAAGACATAACCAAAACGTTTAATAGTCACATCAGGGCTGTAAACGATGAGCTAATGAAGCACAAAGTTACTGACACGAAGTCAATTGGGGTCAAATTGATTTGTGGTGTGCGGGCATTTGAGGCAGTCACGATGGAAAAGTGTGCGATAAGCTTTAGTAAGACCGGTCCTTTTCCGTTCCGGAGGCGGTTCGCGAGGCGTTTTCAGCATGTTCCGGTTATTGACCTCATTGAGAGAGAGGACAGCACCACGCTTACCGAGAAAGAGACCAGGCGAGTTGCGAAACAAATTCTAGAATCCGTCGCTGATCCGTCACGAGCCCTGCAGCTCGTTGCAATTTTACTGCAGAGGGCGACAAGTACTAATTCCATACTACTCAGTTTACGGGGCAGCAGCACAGCCAGTAGTGTGGGCACACATGTATCCGCTACGAATGTTCTCCTTCTCTGCGGTGCACCTGCAGAATACATAACAGTACACGAAGCAATAACCAAGCAGAGGGATCGACTCGACAAGGAGAAAGCTAACCAGGAGGACAAGAAACGGAAGAAGATACAGAAAGCAGAATTGCTCGCCGCGGGGCGCGAAGCGTCTTGAGAAGCTGAAGAATGCGGCAGAAAAGTGTCGCACAGCTGCGGTTAAAAAGCTTGAAGCGGAGAAAAGAAAGCAAGCCGTGCAGGAAAGGAAGCGTGCATCGCAAGCCGCTGCGCTGGCGAAAAGACAGGCGGCACAGGGCCGAATACGAGCTGCACGAGACAAAAAACCGCAGCGAAGGGACGCAAGGCCGTCAATATTGGCCCAAGCACCCCTCAGAAGGCTTCAGCTTCGGCTTTGGTGGATAACTCGGAGAAAAGGACCCGCTCTCCATTGAAGGGGATCTCCCCTTGGGGTAAATTCAGGAGATCTAGGCAATCTGGCGCTGCTGACACCGAGTAAATAAAACTGTCGAGCTTGTTTTGTTGTCCAAATCACCCCATTACCCCATTACCCATATCTAGAATTGCACGGAGGATGAGTGGCCATTTGTATACGGGGCAGAAAAAATTGTGGTTTTTAATTTGATTGCAGGGCCTAGTGCCAAATCATAACTTGCCTGCCAAATTATCCCAGCATGAAGGGTAGCCTCTTTCGTTTAACAAATTCCTGAAAATCATTTTATTCCTAGACGTTAGTCTAGGTGTAAGCAAGAAAAAAGGGGACGGCTCGTTACACGTGTTCACTTTTTCTGTAAAGTACACGTGTCCACTTTTTTCTGTAAAGTACACGTGTTCACTTCTCCTTATGAGGGGAACGGGGTGGTGCTGAACTTTTTTTTTTCTGTAATATATTTTTCTTTTCTGTTTCTTTTTTTTTTCTCACTTCTCTTTGTGAGGGGAACGGGGTGGTGCTGTCCGCACGGCTGTTCGCAGAGGTGTACCCTTGGATACTGTTCAGGTCATAAGTTGAACCGAAGTCTTGGCGCCAACCCGCCCGAAAGGTTTATAGTATAAACCTGTACAGTCACACCCCAATACTGTAATGTATTCAATATTTTTCAGGAATTGCATTAGAAACCTTTCTCTTTGTTTCCGTTTTCTTTCCGCGGAAACGTCTAGGACTCGCGATGCGTGCATCGCAAAGAATGTCTTTCACAGGGAATGGGGAGGTGTTCACGAATCTCGGGTCTCCACCGTGTTGCGTGGCTTCATACTGAAGTGGTTACGCATGCTCGGGGATGCACGGCGAGCACTGTTCCATCCGTGTGCAATTTTTCCTCATAGTATTGCGTGGCATTCAAAGTATCCGCCATGAAAAAACAAGTAGGGCGTTGTCAAGCGTCAACTTTCAAATACAGGTTCTATACATCTCTATAAAACCTACAACTCTCACCGCAGTGAGAGGGGTGCACCATCTTGGTCCCCGTTCTGTTTTTGCCGTCCCTTTTTCCCTCACCAGTTCAACACATGCGTATAGACTTCGAACACTGCGATGGTGAATAAAAAAGGAAGGCAGCCTTGCCACCCGACATCGTTGTCTATCTTTACTTCCAGCCAGCCCAGCCCATAACCCAAGTAAAGTGTACTTATGACGATATATTAATATCTTAACAATACATCTACGCCGTCTTTTAGAAGAAGATTCTGTTCGGCAACTCGGACGAGGCAATGTTCGTGTTTCTCAGGATCAGCGAGCGGAAGATCTCCGACTCAGTGAACAGCGCGTTCACCCGCGGGATCGCGCTGCGCATCTGGCTCGAGAACACGTTCCGGTTGCGGAAGAAGAACCGGTCACCATCCCTGAGCACGCTGAACTGCCTCTCCCAGATAGCGTTCATCGTCGGCCCCATCGAGCTTCCGGACTCGTGGTCCTCGGCCACTAGGCCGATCCACGCCTCCACGCGGTCTACCGTCCCGTACACGTTCTGCAGACCGCTCTGCACGTTCGCTACGCTCGAGATGTCCGCAAAGCTCGTCGCCTTGCGCATCCCCATCAGCTCTTGGATCTCAGTGAAACTTGGAAGGGCGTGGTCGCGTGACCGCTGAAGGTTGAACGCGATCAGGTCAAATCCAAAGTTGATCGCAGGCACGTTTGTGAAAAGGAAGTTGCGCAGGTTGTTGTTAACCATCAGGTCAATTTCCTGTGCCTTAATCTGCGTCGCCCCTCGAATGAACTCTTCGGCTCCCTCAAATCTGGAGGCCACGCGGAAGAACGTGTCTGTCATAGGGATCGATGGAAGCACCGAGTTACCAGGTCCCCTCCGCGCTATCACGTTTCCAACCATGGTATGGCCCACGCGGAACGCCGCCGTGCTGAACACGTCCAGAACATCAGGTCGCGTCGTAATACTCACACGTCGGAAGCGGGGAAGGTCCTTGCCGACTATCGCGGGATAGTACTCCTCAAGCACAATCTTTTGGAACTGCGCCCCATTAATCTTACGGGCGTTTTGGAATAGCTCGTCCTGACCCATATCCGGGAATGCCGCCTCAAGTTCGTCGCATAAATCGTTGTGCTCGCGAAGGAAAACAACGTGCAGGGCCGTGAGAACAGGATTCTCAGCGGGGCGGACATCACCAGCAACGAAAAATTGGTCGCTGGGGAGGGGCACATTAGACAAGTCCATGAAGTTGACGGGGAGAATGTCACCTGGACCAGTCCTTAGCTTGCAGCTTCCGGGCTCGCGAAGAACATCCTGACGAATCTGGTTGGAACCATACACAGCGGCAAGGTCAAGAACACTCGAGTGCGCATTGATAGGTCTCTCGATATCAACGCCCGGAGGCGGACGGGAGCCTCCTGCAGCTGACCCGCCACCAGTACCTTGGAGAAGACCCTGCGTATCCACGATGCCGCGGACAGACCGGGAGAATTGAAGTTGACCACCAGAAAAATTGGCGAAGATCGGGTCCTCGCGGGGGATCGGAATCGGCATGGATTCACTGCCTGGCGGGGTGAGCATGAAAGTATGGTCTAGAAATTGACCGAAGAAGGTGGCCATTTCATTGAGTCCACGGTCGTTGAACTTGTCATCAGACTGCTGGCAGAGCATGTTCGAAACGTCACGGGCGGATGGCAGGTCCAACCCATTGGGATTAGCGGAGTTTAGGAAGCGCTGGAGAGATGTCTGAGCACGACCTGCTGCGCCCCACGTCCTGAAAACTGTGTTAGTGCAGGAACCGTCGGCGGTGCGGAATTCAGAGCTGCAGCGTCTTGAGGTCATTTCATCTTCCTCGGCACTACCAGGGTTGACAACTTGCAATTGTAACTCAACATCTCGGCCTCGACTGCCAGGGCGCAGGCCTTGTCCTGAAACGAGGTTGAGAATAAGGGCGAACGCAGTCGCCAGAAGAACGGCAACCTTGATAGACATCATTGTTGGAAAGAGACGCTACAAGCAATGGCGAGAAAGTTTGGAAATGAGACTTGTTGGTTGGTGAAGAGGTGAGAGTTGCTGGATGATGAAAGTTGCTGTGCCGCAGTGGGAAGTCAGCTTATGTACTGTTTGGGGGGGACGGAACGATGCATCAGAACATATGCATGATGTGCAGGAACAAGAGAAATACATCCAAGGGGCCAGATGCATGGCATAGTGGTACGTCAATGTGTTGCGTTGCAAGTGATGAAGCAAAGGATAGAAACAGAAGAAGTGTCAATGCGCATCACTTCGGTCCCCAACTAGATGTTGTGACGTATACAAGTTTCCTTCAGAGAGAATACAATTTATCTCGAGATCTTTGAAACTATCTTCCAGGTAAGTGTATTTTTCCGCCTGCAAGCCCGATCGAATCAGTGTCAACAAGCGAGGCCGTAAATGCCAAGTCGACGACAATTTTAGCGTTGGATTGGATGAGAGCCATACGGTGAGTCCAATGGAAAGCGAAGGGTAGAAATGAGAAATATTCCTGTATTGTTTCGCAATTATCTTCTGTCGATGCAAGCCTGTTGATGTAAGAAGAGAGGCTATAGCTGAGAAAGACAAAGGTTACGCCGCATGTCGCCATGAAGTCAGTCGGCGCGGCACTGAAACCTGTTGGGCCTTTTCACGGTGTGAGACCTGGCTGTATCGTCATCAGGGGTCCGCGGGAGGGACACGAGACGTCAGATCACAATTCGAGGCCGCCTGTAAAGTTTCGTAGATGGCAGACGGTTGGGGATTGGTCTTTGCGGACGAGCACCGGCGTGTCTCTCTACGAGGCTGTGGACTAGGGTTTTGAGGCTACGTCACCGGTGCTACGGAGAGGGTGAGGAGCACATTTATGGATTTGTAGATGAGGTACCCTTCGAAGGGTAGAGCCCGTGCGACAAGAACGGACGGGGCACCAGGTATTTTGCATTGATGACATTTCTTGATTTCATGTAGAGCAAAAACGATTCAAAATCCGGCTCCCTATTTCTCCTCGCTCCGAACAAACTCCGCCGTCTCTTTTCTTTTTCGCCTCACATGTTCCGCATTATACTGTAGTTAGCCACCGCTGGCGTACGTCGTCACCAGAGGCTTCCTATTCCCGGATACGCTACAGTAGTACTGTACATACCCTCGCTGTTTGCCTGCGAGCAGCGATGTGGACGTTTAGCCGTTACGTCATCGTCGTTGGCGAAGAAAATTTGACAGGTCGAGACAAGCCCACTTCTCCACTGCTTTGAGAGCAATAAGCTATCCTTATTTGCGACATATATGTTTCATGAGTTCCAGGACGTGTAGTTCTACACTTGCCGCGTCGCAGGCCTGAACAACGTGAGCTTCATTGCTGTTACCCCTGCAAATGGCATCATAATATACTGTAGGTTGCTCCATTTCTCAACAAGTCTGTCTCGGACAGCAATGCTCCCAGCGCTGATTCCCTGGTCTTTGTCTTCACCTTCCCATCATCTATGAACCTATTTGCTATTTCTAGTATGGCACGGTATCTACGAAAGGAGCCTGGACAAGCTGCGTTACATGATACGCCGCGTCTGTGTTTCTTTCACATACTTCCATGTCTCAACAGGCTGGAAAGATCCTCATCTCTATCACCCCTCATTCCACCCAGCCCCCCGTGCCCCCTTGTGTTTTCTCCTCTCCTTAGATTAGTGTTACGTACGCTCTAGAAACGCCAAAATCAACTACATTTCATAAAGATCCGACGTATATCTCGAAGGAAATATTATGTCTTCCATCAGATCGCCTCTAAAGGAGTCTCTGGCGGGGCCTCATCCTATCGCAGCCATGGCAATACCACGAAAAGAAAGCTGGCAGTACTGCACGGCCACTCCACTAACGTTTCGATATGTTGACGAAACAGTGGCATGCAACCGAAATGGACCTCAATATGATGCGATTAGTTCTAAGTTAGGGAGAGCTCATGTCCAGAGTCCTTTTGGTTTGCCTTCTTCGCATTTAATCCAGAGTATGACGAAGCTTAAAAACGTGGAAGGAAAGACAACTCGAAAAAAGTTGGCAGACTCATCATCTGCAATTGCTGCCATCCATCCTAGTGTCTGTTCGACCCAGCGTTATCATAACATAGCATATGCAAATTTTATTTCTTTTCAACTTCGATGTCCACGATTTATATCTTTCTTTGGAGGGTTGACTCGTCTTCCATTTTTCTGAAGGTAGAACTGAATAGAAAGCACTCTACGCAGTGTGTTTATGCCACTGATATAAAATTAGAATAAAGAAAAATGCTTACTGTAACCCTACTTCTTCTTTTGAACACCTTTATGCGCATCAGCGAGTTCGTTTTCGCTAGAATCGACGAGCAACTACTTTATCTGTGGTGAAAGCCTTCTAGTTTCAAAAAACAGAAGTGCAATCGTGAGGTGCGTTCTGTAGAATAAATAAAATAAGTTTTGTCCTCATGGGAGGACTAACGGTCCTATAGACACTAGGCATGAAGCAGAAAGAAGACCTTCAAAAAATGCCAAGTGCAGTATGGCCATTTGCTGGTCTGCTTTGCACTTTCACCATTCATCCCGCTCAGGTAGGTCTGAATGAACAAAAGGCTGCTTTAATGAGATATCGCGTTGTGGGCATTTTTGAGAACGAAGAACGTGCAAATCAGTATTTGGCTGTACCGTCGGATCTTTCTACATCTTTTCTGCTAATTTCAGCTCCGTCCATTGTGGCATGAAAACACAAATTTTCTGTTATGGCTTCCCCACATTAGTTTGCCTTTGGCGGCCCGTGTCACTCTTCTGCAGCTCTAGCTAGATATACTCAAATCGGCAATAATGGAGAAAATGTCCTTTCCTCTTCATGCCCTTCACCCTGGGCAAATTTGATTTGTCCACTATTTGCACGGTATGTGGTTGCTCGTGCATAGGCTGGGGCAGACGCACGGACCAAAAAGAGCTCCAACATAGTCGTACCGACATAATACCATCAAAATTATTCAGCCCCCCTGAGCTCATAGTAGTAGAAATGACTGTGTCACTGCAGTTCAGATGACATCCTTGCATCTAGACAAAATCATGCTTGAGTCAGTGAAGGGTTTTTATTTTTATCAGGATTTGTTTCAGCTTTTAGCGTTCCTTTTCGTTTCTGAAGAGGAAGAAAACCCACCGTGCGTCGACTTGATTCTTTTCAGAATGTCTTCATTGTTTTAAAGCGACAGGACACTCAATTATTTAATTAAAAGGTATCATAGCTTCTTGCGCCAATTACTAATATACGTGGGATCTCTGGCCTCTCCAAGTCTTGTACTGTAATTGAAAGGATATTTGAAATATGCAAAAGAGGACAGCATATAAAATGACTAAAACAACAGATAACATGGCAGAGAATATGCACATTTTTGCCTGTCTCGGTATATATCTTGTAGGCACGTAGTCAACGGTCTCGCCTATGAAGATGAGTCTGTGTCAACTTGTTTTAAGATTCCATGCCTTACACGTTTTTAAGCTCCATCATACTGTGGATTAAATTCGAAAAAGACAAACCAAAAGGACTCTGGACGTGAGATCTCCCTAAAGTAGAACCAATCGCATCAGCTTCAGGTCCATTTCTGCTGCATGCCACTGTTTCGTCGCCAAAACGATGGCGGAGTGGCCGTGCAGCACTGCCCGTTGTTTATACAATTCGTTAACTCTCGAATCTGATTTCACCTCGTTGGTATCAGACTCAGAATCTATCAGCGCCTATATGTCTTTCTATTTACACGATTTTCACCGTTACGTCATGTGGATCCTTTTTTGAGGAGAATTGGCATTCTACATATTGCTATTTCCCTAAAATGTTGTATACTGACGCATACCCTCTCGATGTCAACACAACGAAGGACCCTGCGCAATGATTCAAAAGGTAGAAACGATCTCACTAACATGAAATTCAGAAAACGGATGCCGATTGCAGCTGCCAAAGCGGGACAACATGTGTCACCTTTAGGTCTTCATATCATTTAAAACCTACTTCAGTATGTGCACGGCAGACCTTTATAATATGTTTTCACTTACATGCGACGAGAGAGACGAGATTTTGGGTTGGCACGTCTTGCAAAACGAAGAGTATGAAGCGGCTTATCGAATGCGGTTCATCGGATTGTCACCATGCGGCCCTGGCTCATGACGTCTTATAAGATCTGTTGGCACAGCCAGTAGGTTATTCTCCGTAGTTCAAGAATCGTTACCCCGAATCATGGCAAGATTGGCGTGGGGTGAGAATATGGTAACTCGATTTCAGCATATGCAGGGCCGTCCAGGAGGTGCGTGTGTTCATGTTTGATCACCCTACGGATTGGGAAGCACAGGTTACAGTGGCATATGGTGCGAGTCGGAAAATTGGTGATGCTTTTGTCAAGCAGTTAGAACAACGTCAGATTACAGATCTGTGCTAATAGGAACCAATGCAATCAGTTAATCAGCAGGCGCTTCTATGTCTGACAGAATCAACGAGGTTTGGCAAAGAAAACGAAAGTGGATAACATGAGCAACTCATTTTTTTCAAGCGTAATTCACTACTCCATGTCTAGAGCTACATTGTACATACAGTAGTGTGTAAATTCTTTGATAACATCATGTAGTTGTACCCTTCGTAGCACTGTACAGATTAGCGGCCCTTAAATTTTGGGGTACTGTATATCGATACCTGTGTTTGTCTTAGTCAACAACGAACGGGAAACAGACTTGCAGCGAGCACAACTGTGATGTGTAAACACCTACTACTGTACCCTTGGGTACTGTACAGCCTTCTGGTACGGCGTGCCTCCTCGAATGCCCCCCTTTCAAGAGCACTTCAAGGGAACCTACAAGTACTTCAAGGGCACCCTACAGAAAGATGGAAAGCCCTAGCTACACATGTAGGAGTGGGGAAACAATACGAAGTGTCACAAATTCTTCCATGTGCATTGCTCTATGCGCATTTCTTTCTGTGCCCCCTCTCCTCTCCTTCATCAAGTGTCCACGTTGGTGGTGCTTTGCTGTCCCCACGTGTGATACCTCGGTGTAAAGTAGTTATTTCTGGGAATAT